CAATCATCAATCAATCAATCTATCAACCAATCAATCAACCAATCAATCAATCAATCAATCAATCAATCAATCAATCAATCAATCAATCAATCAATCAATCAATCAATGATTAAAAAAAACAATCAATAAATGAATATTTATTGTTTTTTTAAATTTTTAATATTTTTTTGCTACCTATCAAAAACAACCTTCCCAAATTTTTCATTTTTTTTTTTTTTTTAATGCTGAGCAACAGCGCCCGACGTGTGCAGGCCGAGCGCGCGCGCGAATTTTGAGCGCGCGCCCCCGCCTGAGCGTGGCGTGGCCGCGGGCTCGCGGTCTAGGATCCTGGCCGCGGACTCGGATTCTGCGGCCGCAGCCCAGGGTGCCACGTAGCGGCTCGGATGTTCGAAGACCGTTTCGGATTAGGACCGGCCAAGAAGAACCCGGACCGAAGGGCCCCATCTTCTTCCTCGGCCTCCCGACGCCCTATACAAACGCAAGGGGGACGAGAAGTAGATGAACACTCGATGAAAGAGATACCCGCACAACTTGTGACGATTGTGGCGCCGTTAACCGAGCTCGTTCAAATTTGGCAGAGGTAAAGGGCGGCGGTGGCCCATAGACAGCCATCGTTCGCGGCCGTTGGAGCAGCGTTGCCTCAACCTGTTGTGGTCGGGGCTACGCAGCCTATGAGATGTTATAATTGTAATCAACCCGGCCACATGGCCAAAGACCGTCCGCGACCTCGGGCTCAGGTAGGTATCGCTGGCCCATCCCTGATTCCGCTGGCAGCTCCAACCGCTGCAGGCCAAAGGCGGGTGGCGGCGCTCATGGATGCGGGGACCCCAGACATGGTGGCCCCGACAGCCGTCGAAATTGGAATCGATGAATACATGGGAGCCGCGACGCTTGAACCCGGGACCATTGGCGTGATCCGCCATACCCTGCGTGTAGCAGGGGAAAGTGACTTGGGACCTTGGAAACTCGGGTTCGAAGATCCCACGATACCAGGTCACGAGTACAAGGATGACCAAATCGACGTACTAGATGCCTTGAAGGCCTTGGATCTGCGGATACCCATACCTATTCCGTACTTGCTGACAATTTTGGAAGCCGCCAACGAGAAACTAATTGAAAAATGCCTGAAGAACCGCCGCCTGTTCGAGGAAGGCCGAAGGGGTAAAAAGTTGGCAATCCATGACCCGTCGGTGGATATCGAAGGTCGACCCTCGACCTTGAAAACTCACAAGGCCAACCGAGCCAGGATGATCCACGCCGCGGATCTACCACTGGAGAAACCCGATGTATTTCTTCGCACGTACCTGATTACCTGGAAAAGTGTCGAATGTGATTTTGAGGTCTGGGGAGGTCCCTCGTCCGCCATCCTGGATTCGGGATCGTCAGCCGTAGCTATCTCTTGGAGCTTGACAAAACGTTTGGGTCGGGAGAAGCAGATTCAGTCCCTCCGACCCGACGAGCTGTATGTATCCGCCACAAAAGATAGTATTCACTGTAAAGGACGGATTAGGGATGCTCCTATAAGAGTTGGGCGGGTGCATTGTTTGTGTGACGCGATTGTATTGGATGTGCAGGCGTATGATGTGCTCCTAGGGATCCCGTTGCAGAAATACCCATGAGAATGGCCGTACGTGTACGCGCACAGCCCACCCCTCGCATTTCCACCGAGGTTCCCAGAGTCAACATGGTTCGATGGGTGTCAATGGGCGAAGAAAGACCCGCGACAGGAACTGAGGATGCAGATGAACCCGACCGGTATCCAATACGAATTCAAAACCGGTTCCGCCAACTGTGGCGACACATGTCAACAAATGTTAGCCAGAGTGAGTCTAGCTGGGGTCAGTTGTTCTCCTCTCCTTTGAGAGGGTAACCATTGTTGAGGGTGTCACAAATAATTGACCTCTCAGAACCCCCTACGTCCCTGTATCTCAGAACGGACCCTCTCCTAGAGAGATTTGTTGAGCTTAGGGGGCTATGCAGCCTATCTTTTAGGCCCCCACGACCCCTACTCCTACGTGACACCGTCGGCCGCAGATCCTGCGGCCTCGGCTAAGGCCGAGGAGGCCGGCCGCGGGCTCGCGACCGAGTTTGCGCGCGGCTGTGCCAGGCCCAGGCAGGGGCGCGCGCAGGAAAACGGCACGCGCACGCGGCCTGCGCACGTTGGCCCTTATTACCCTGTAAAAAAAAAAAACAAAAAAAAAAAAAAAATTTGGGGGGGTGGTTTTTGGTGTGTGACAAAAATATTTTAAAAAATAGAAAAAAAAATAAATATTGATTGATTGATTGATTGGTTGATTGATTGGTTGATTGATTGATTGGTGGGGGAGGGGTCCTTCCTCCCCTCCCCCCAGCACACACACACACACACACACACACACACACACACACACACACACACACGCACACACACGCACACACCTGCGC